GGAGTACTGAAACTTTACAAATGAATCGTGGATCTCCTTAGGGGAAATGGCTTTTAGAGGAAGTAGAAATCTTTCAAGCCTTAATCCCCAGGATATTAATATTGAAAATAATTCAGAAACGGTATATACACTTTTTAATTTAATGGGGCTTCCCCTAGGACGCCATTTTCCCTAGGGATGTCTCCATGCTCGGTACTGTACACCTTTGTCTGAAGATATTAAAATCTCCCAAAAGAATTTTAAATAAATACTATTTAATGATATGGAATATAAAGATTTGAAAAATAATGAATAAACATAAAAAGAAAAATCAAGTTCAATGCACAAAATAGATGCATAAATTATTGAATAAGAAAAATGAGGAAGAAAGAAAAATTAACATAAAAATTAATGTATAACAACTCATAAATGAATTCGCTCGATTCGGATCGCAAACAAAGAAGAAAGCGAAAAGAGTTTCACAACATGTTGTATACACCTATCAGTCGTAAATCATGGATGCAACGTGTTCGAAAGAAATTCTTTTTCAGCGGGTCGACCTATGCACCGACGTGCAAACGTGATATCTCGATGATCCTTTGAACTAGAAAGTAATCAAACGATTCGAAAGAGAGAAAGAGATGAAAATAGGGGGGCGAATACAGCACGCACCGTGCAATTATGTGGAAAGGAAACGTCAAGGATGTAATACATCTTCTAATTAATTTTGACATTTAATTGCCAGACAAAAATTATTTTTTTGCAAGTTTATTATTTTGAAATTTGATTGCATGGAATTTCTTTTGAAATGTAAAATTATTTTTCAAATGACGAAAGTTATTTTTGAAAACTTTTCCACTTTCTTTCTCTCTATTTTTGCATGTGTACTCCATTAAGTTTCGAAGTTCCTTTTCTTCAAAATGGAGTTTCAGACGAGGTTACAGAGATATTTATCGATCTCTCCGGCCTTCCTCAAGGCTAATCGACCCTGACGATTGTCCCGTAAATGTCAAGGTGATCAAAGGAAATATTCCTTTCCCCATTGGAGATCGATACCTGTTGCAATTATCTTCTTCCTTTCCAGAAATCGCTTTTTTATAGGTTATCAGCCATTGCTATTATGGCAGCCATGAATTCTAACGATCGTGGATAACCTTAAAAACTTATTTCAGCATTCATAAAAATAAAGTTTCCTGAATTTCACTAAACAGGAAAATAGTTTAAAAAGTTTTTATAATTTGTTGAATAATGTATTAGGCAAATGAAATTGCAAACATTTTTCAATTTAATGGTTTGAAATAAATATTAATACTCCTTTTTGATAATTTATTGAAGAACAGAGTCCATTGTAAATCATACAGGAAAAGATATATCTTATAAGATCGACGTAAGATTTAAGATTAGCATGAAATTATAAATCAAACAGAACATTTATCACACTTGGAAAAAACATTGTTTGCACTAGAGATTGGGCAACTATGTCAATCTTGGAATCCTAATCGTCGATGAAATAAAGGTTATTTAAAAGATTGTTGTTGCACATCGACAGATATCCCCAGACGTTTTGTAATTTATTATCCATTTTTCTATAATTTATACGTCTGGTTTTCAATCTTTATATCAGACATTGTACTTTTTTAAAAACAAAAAGTGATAATGGAGCTGTGTTATTAGACATCTCGAAAATTTGATTATTAAAAACACAAATAACTAATTTGCAAATCAATGTTATTCATTTTCCTTCTTTTCCTTCTTTTCTTTTTATACCTAACCTAGCATAACCTGATCATCACGACACTGAACGTGTAAAATAAATAAAAGCTATTGAGAAAACACTGCTTATGTAGAGAAGATAATAATCAGAAATCATTGCAAAATAAAAATGACAAACAGATGAGCATCAATAAGGAAAAGAATGCAATGGTGCATTAAATCGACGGCCATTTTCTTGTCAACAAAAATCACTTAATGGACGAATGCGTTAGTTGGCGGAAGTGTGAATCGCAATTCGAAAACCATTATTCCCTCGAGTTTGAGTTCTTAAAGATGCAATTCACGTAATCACGAAGAAATGTGTTCGATTCCGTGAGTCAGTGTCTATGCTCGTTTCCTAGTTCGATAGAAATCGTTTGGTGTCGCAATCTGTTCGCAATTGCTACAAAAGAAGGAAATAGAAATTTAGGTAATCGTATTTATTAACCTTGGACGATGTGATTTTCCGGCACGTGATATATTTCTTTTGCTATACTCCGGTAATCATGGCCTTTATTTTTCCCAAGCCTCTGTTTACTTCCACTTGTTATTTATTTTGACTATTAAGCTATTTCATCAGTTCCATTTGCAAATATTTGCAAAAACTTATTTAGAAGTAATTTAGAAATAATAAATAAACTATTCTACAAAATTATATATTTTTATTTTCTAAGAAAATTGTATATTTCCTCGTATCTCTTAGTTAATTTATGATTTATTATATAAAATTGCCTATAACTGCATGAATTTTATAACATTACTTATATAATTTTGCCATTGTATCATTCAATTGCTTTTTTCATCTTCCTATTTTCCCAAGAACAATTATTTTATCCATGAGTTTCACGGTAACTAATTATGCGGTTCATTAAATTATAATTTACTTTCAACTATTTTTATCTTCTTCTAGTGTACGTAACAGCTTTCCCTATAGCATACGATTTCTTAGAATAAACAATTATATTGTTTCATAACAACAGTTGCAAATTGATTGATTTATTGGTCGTTCCCACGAAGAATCAGCCATTTTGTATGAAAGATATTAATGAAACATTTATGTAGATTTTCATACGTTGTGACCAAGGGTCGTAGATCTACGCTCTGCAGGTCCATCAGTAGGTTCTAATAGCGTAGATCTACCCCTTTAGACATACAAATTCAACGTATGGCATATGTGTTGCTCTGCCATAATTCTATGTCATCAAATCATGTCAGACATTACATGTTTCGAAATCGGTCATTGTTTGCTGTAACTGGCAACCGGCCATTTTGTATCAAGAACATGATTTTCAACTTAAAATCAATGTGGCATAAGTGTTATTTGTGATACTTTTAGGTTATGAAATCATGTCAGCCATTTTGTTTCAATATCAGCCATTTGGTGGACCAACATAACCTAACTTATCCAATATTAAAATTATTGTCCAAAAGTCCTATTTGGTGAATGTCTGTGCAGAATGATGAATACATCATTGATCTTCGGCTTCTTTCTGCGAACTTGCGAAATTACCTAACTTCGAAACCTCAATTATGTTTGAGCAAACATTGCTCGGAGGATTATGAGTGGCCATACGAAGAGTCTAGAACCGTTTGGTAGACACAGAAGCTTGTATGCACGCCTACGTGGATAGAGGCATGCCTCTGGAGAAAGTCCGCAACACTTGTTTCGTATCTGCCTTTCGAGACTCGTCTGTTCTCTCATCGCGAATACTTCGGAAAATCTACCTCCATTTCAAAAGTAACTTGAGGAGAATAAGTATTTGTTAATTAAAATTGACATCTGGGTCAATCGTGACCCAGAATTACAAAATTGTGACTAAAGTTACAATAAACAGCAATTAAGTTTCTATTTTTATATCAACAAAGGACGAATATCTCCTGAAGCAAATACTGATTGTGGCATTGCTAAATAGAAACTATGTTAATAGAATGCATGGGATTAATCTGAAACGAAATTTACATAATTACAAGTTGCTTTAATTTTTTGCAATAATGGCATTCTGCGATAATGATACATTTAAAGCGCATTAAATGTTATTAATATGGAAATTCGATGCAGCTATAATAGTGTAAAGATGTTATTAACATCATTAAACATCAAGATGTTTGAATGAAAATTATGGCCACTGTTGTCCCTGTGCCATTTTGTTATGTAAGTAGTGTCATTTGATATTTTGCATTTTATACTGCTATTATTTCTGATTAAAAAGCTTATATAGAGTTAAACCCCATATTGCAAACATAACCTCTTGCATCCTCCATGTTCACTGGATAATGTCCTATTTGATTATTACCATATTTATTTTAAAATTTTAATAAAATCTTTTACATGGAAACAATATTTGTGAGGTTATAGAAACAATGCTTGGTATATTCTTTAGGAGGTTATTCTCCCTCGGAGGCGCCATTTTTACAGAAAAATTTATTTCAAAAGATTCATTTATACGTTTTCAGAAAGGACCTTCAGAATGAATTGATATCTCATTACTTTTATTGCACGACGTCTCGCTTCGAAATATCCTGTTGGTCAATCCTGTCGAAAAATCTGCACGGACCGTTTAAAAAAACCGGCGTGCCATTTAAAGCCGCGTTTGTCGAGCACGTGTCGGGAATTCGAATCACGTTTCAATGAAAATTGCGATCGAGGTCGTGATCTGCCTGGCGAGCGACGCTTTTTTATCGATTCGTTCCTTCGATCCAGTTCAACGATACAATTATTATTTTTATTTGCATCATATAGTGTAATATGGTACAAGGTTGGACAGATGGAAAAGCAATTAGAAAGATAGATAAAATGAAGTGTCATTTCGACGAAAGTATCTTACTAAGGGTTAGGTTATGTTTGCACTTTTACCACGTGACTCGTGGTGAAAGAGTTTTAGAAGTTCTAAATGAATTCATTGAGCCCAGGGCAATTTTTCAAGTTTCTCTCTGGGCTCTTGGAATTATAATATTTTTATGTCTAAGGGCCTAGGACCTAGGCTCTCCCAAACTAAAGACAAATCACGGATAACTCCAACCCCTACACTTGTTCTTTAACGCGGAAATGATGAATTAGTCTAATTGGTCTAACTGGACTTCCCTAACATACTGCTTTCCTTATATTGACTGTACCTTGGAAATAACAGCGCATAATATGTAATATCCCCAATGCTATCAAACTCAGCAAAGGGTTTATCCTTGATCTCCCGCAACAGGTCGTCCCTGACACTGACAGTGCCAGTACCGCCTCTATCTCTATTCAACGCACACGATGTCATGGTACTCACATTTTCGAAGTCCGTGGTTCATGTCACTGCCTCATGTGTCCCTCGGTCGATCTCTCTCTCATATTGATTCCTCTTGGGACGATGAACGCTTCACAACACTCTTGATCCTGTCAGCAACGGTAGTCACACATCACAGGCACCGGACAGCTTCTTCACTTGGACAAGCACAGCTTCCGTTTTTCCTGTGGTCACTAATCGTGACAGTAGACACGGATCGAGAGGAGATGCGCTTCGGTGAGAGGCGGACGCTCGACTGAACCGCTCGAACGAAGCGCATTCCGTTTCGCTCGAAATCTTTCGCCCACCACCTGACCAGGTGTGTTTGTTGTTTTCCTTTTGCTCGTGTGGGTGGGGGTCCTGCTTGATTTTCCTTTCGATATCCTTGTTGTATCGCATTTTGCCAGCTGTTGCGTCCTGCGGAGAGCTAGGGTCAGATGCTGTCTGGTTCCCCCTGAGGGCGGGAGGTCCTGGATAGTTCCCTTGTTGATGTCCCTGTTGATTTGGACTTTGTGGGGTCTTATGCCCTGTGGGGAGTTTAGGTCAGGTAAGAATCTGTAAAAAATAGAGAACCCAGTGAGATTGGACCCTGTGTCTTCCGCGTTGTAGCCAATTACCACAGCCATTATGTCACAACCGGTCTGTTGCCATTTCTGCTTTTATGACTCCTTTTTTCTAGGTCCAAAAGGTCATAATCGACAGTTATGAATATCCTATTGATTAGAATTACTTATGGAAGGCATACCTGGAGGCCTAGTAAACCCCCATCCCCAAGAAATCATATCGTCCTCTACACCCCAGGGAGTCCCCCCGCCCCCCACGATATATGTGTTGATCCGAATGGCCTTTCAGTATAACATGGCATTCGAAAAAGTATATAAGACGTATTTTCTGTAAAAGAATGCTCAAGAAACATAACATGTTTGTCCCAAAGGTGACCTCCACTGCTCAAGTCTATTGTGTCTCTCTGTGATGGAGGCAGCCCCAATGGATTTTCCTTGTCTGGCCAGCTATTCTTGGGCAATATAATTGTTTGAAACACTACACAAATTTACAAATAAATACTTTTCCTTTGAATTTGTATACTGCGCAGTCAGTATTTCAAGTAGCAATTTTATATGACTCTGTCTGCATGTTTCACTTCGACAACAGGGAGAAAGATTTGTTTTCTTCGAAGCGAACAATTGCCGTCTACATCGAACGTTTTTCAATCGTAAAACTGAAAAGAATTCAGTACTGTAATAGCGAAATTCCATTGAAATTGCTCGAAGGAGAGATCTCTGCTCCCATAACATTGCTTTACGACAGCAGTTTGTTGCATTTTTTGTTTGCAAGAGAAAATTGCAAAACGCGATGATTTTTACATAAGCTCAATATTTCTCAATATTTCAAATATAATTTTTATCACATTTATGATACGTCAAACACGATGTTTTTTACATAAACCTGTTTCTTTGAGTGATTGCTAAACTTAAAAAGAAGAAAACTGCACGAGGCATTTGCAATTAATCTAATCAAGAAATCTAATTTCTATTTGCAAGTTTTTGAAAATGGTACATCCAAGAAGAGTTTCATGGGAAATTATTGTTGCGCTGCGAGTAAATCCAGGTGAACCAGATAGCTCGGTGTACGTACGATCGAATAAAATCGTGCGAAGCAGTCACTTTCTCTCGTACCGTTCACGTAATAAACCCGAAATATTACCCGTAAGTGGAGGCTGAAGTTATGTCATCCCGCAAATTCTTTTCTTCTTACATTCTCCGGGAAGCATCAACGAGTTTCTTACCGCTGAAAAGTACAACGTTGACCCCGTGGACCGGCCGTGTGTCACGTTAATTAATGTCACTTTCGAAGAAGCATAAAACGCAACGATTTTCAATGGTTCTTTGGAATAATTGCACGGAACGGTGTGTCAATTAATTTAGAAATCTGCTTCGAGTGTTCTTAAGGAAATTATGCGAGACCAGCCTTAAGTATCCGACTTTTGAAAATGGCACAAGTACAATTTTGAAAAACAAAAATGAGTTAAAGGTGGCAGATGAATAATTTAAAAAGAGGCTTGTCTAATTTTCTAAACAAAAGAAAAATGTCTGAACTAAAAAATAAAGTTTTAAAGAGTAATGATTTTACATTTATCGAAAGTGCCATTAAGAATTCTAAATCGTGTGGACGACTCAATGGTTGCAAGAAATCATCCTGCATATCTCCGCGTAATTACAAGAAGGAACATGGAGCAATGCACACCAGTAATTTCCTCGACCGGAAAAACGCGACCTTCCCGTGTGGAACGGCCGCTTTCCGCTTTCTGTCTCTGTTAGAGTATAATAACGCCGCGCTCGTGAAGCCACTATTTCCTTTCACTGCTATTATGCACGCGTGCTCTTTCACCTTGGTGGCCGCTTTCGTTACCGAAGCTAAATCACCGTTTGAAGACGTGCACCCCTGTGATTTATGCTGGGGAACTCTTCTTGAACGCTGATTATGTGGTAGATTGATGTACAGTTGGCTGCAGTGTGGGCCTGTCTTGGGTAAGAGTGAATGTAGAGGGAGTTGGCATCTCTTACCATGTTTTCAGTGCTGGGGGAACTTAGGGTGAGTGAAGTTAGGGAGCTGTGTGAAGTTAGGGAGAACCTAACCTAAGGGGAGCCTAAAGAGAACCCTGGAACAATATGAGAGCCTAAGGAAAGATTAAGTCCAGCCTAAGGAGGATTCAAGAAAAAACCAAGGAGGACATTTGAAGATCCCAGAAACACCATGCCAACCGCTCCAGCATCTCTCCAGTCTTTCAGAGTTACTATTAAGTCTACATAGTCTGCAGGAGACAAGTATTAATTCTAACAACAATATGCAACATATAGTAAAAAAAAAACATTTTGGTCTTTATTAATACAATATTTGAGAGCATCAAAAGCGGATTGTATAATCTTTCCCTACTGCTGAAGGAATCTTATAAACCTGCTTACTTAAGCAGAAATTAGATTTGAGTCAGCATTCTGGCAGTTCTTGGTCGTTAAAATTTTTGGCTCATTGGCGATCAGCGTTTTCGTTGCATCAGGACACACAGTAATCCTAAATTAAACAGATAAAAAGTATATTAAAATTGATAGTTTATATGCAAATGAGGTTAGGCGCAGGTGTTTATGGGAAGTGACATCTGGTGGCCAATTCTTGCAGCGGTCATAAACCTTTCATTCTGACACATGACACCAAGGCATGTCACCAAATTCACCGTGTATAGCATTTTAAATAATCCTATGACGGATGTAACTATTTTATTCATCAGATGAAATATCCTGATCAACATTGTGAAATACGTACCCATGAGATGACTCCAAACTATAGATGGTTAACGAGTCGATGTAGACACGTGGTGTGTGAAGCAGCCTCCACGTGAGGGGATTGAAAACAGAAGCCTGATACTCCCAGGAAATTTCGATCGCTTCCGGTTTGCCTACTACCTCACCAGCTAGTACCACAGTGTGGGTGCTACCTGGTTCGTAGTACTTCGACTGCGGGCTAAGCGGTATTTTCTCGGACTTCTTGTCATTTTCATCGATTACTCGGATCACGAAGGTGCCTACCTCGCCACCGTGGTCCAGGCTCTCGTTCGTCTTTGATATATTAATTGTTACCTTATAATGACCCTCTGAAATCATCGGAAATTTAACAAAATTCAGAACAATAATAGGAACAATTTGGAAAACTTAAAAATCTTCGATAATTTATAAAATTCTATAATATTCTCTTTTCTTTTGTTCTGGGTTTATAATTTTTCGGCGCAGTAATAAGACGTATTACAATCATTATTTCCGGGACGAACGAACGTTTTATGCATACAATAATGTTTCGGATAGCACAAAAGAGAATCGAAAGATTGAATGGATTCCAAGCATGTGCAAAAGGATACGTGATTTGAATGCATAATTAAATCAATAGCAATAAAATCGAAGATCAATTCGGTTTTAGCTGAAAATTTAATATAGAAGATACTAACTGCAAAATGGTTTAGATGATCCAGTCATTAAATAAACAGAGGCATGATAATTCCCAGGTTGAGCATCCAGTCCAAATCTGGGACAATATTGATTCACGCAATCGAAACAGACACCTTCCTGAAACTTATCCCACGAGGAGCAAGGAACTGCCAAAAAAGGGCAATCCGTATTGACACTTTCTATAAAGTACTCGTAACTCCGAATATGATTGCATCCGAGGAACCTTTTGATTCCTGAAATAACAAACAGAGAAATAATAAATACTAATTCAAATTTCCCGCGCAAACGTTTACGCGCGAGTGGTGGGGGTGCCCGCCATTTTCCCTAGAAGGGCGCCCCATGCCCGGTACTGTACAGAGGAATTGATACTTTTCAAACAGGTTCTAATACGATCACCTTTATTCTCGTCACATAATCGTAATCGATACCAAGGATCGTGACTGGATGTGTTATAATCCGAAGGGACCGATCGATTATATAACAGAAGAAAGCTTACCGCGAAAGAAACTCCCACGTTCCAAGGTGATGGAATTGAGAACACCCTCGTTGCAACCGGGCTGGTTGCGGCCGCCGTTCGGATAGAAATCGATATGCGCGACGGGTTGAGTGATACCGAGGCCACCGCTGATAAAAGGATTGCAATCGGTGTGAATCGCCGTGACGAATGTTGCGTCCGTCGGGTCGAGCCGAACCATCGTGGAGGTGTTGCTGAAATGAGGCTCGGCAGGATCGAGGCCTTTTAACAGACAAGAGAAACGAAACGAAACGTGAGAAGCTTTACTGAACTGTTGCTGCAACCATGGTTAATACTTTAGAGGCCGTACATTTTATATGATTTTTGTAATTCTATATTTCTTTTTATACTAATTATAGTAAATGTTACAGTGGCGGTCAAAGAGGTGTCTAAGGGTAAATTTTGTGTTGGACAATTTTCAATTAATAATCATGGGGCAATTCGTTAATTATTAGGATGAAGCTCTAAATATTATTTTGATTTTATATTTGAAATGCAGTTTCATTTTCTATGGTCTCCAACCCCCATAGAGCAGCCATTCTATGTGCCCTCCCCTTCTGCAGGTTGAAGGGTCCTGCCAACCCTGATCCACCCTCGCTATTCACGTTCTCCTTGTTCGCTACCAGGAGAGCTTTCGTTCGTTCCTGTTATCCTGGTAATTCCCGATGGGATCGATAGCTTACGTGACAGTGGTCTGGGTCAATCTGATCGAACCCCTTCACCACCATCGTCCCAAAGCGAGGGGAGGATTGATCGGAAATGGGAAACGGTTCTCATCTTCGATAAACTTCCAGAAAAAATTTAAATTATCAATACCTCGAGACACCTTAACAGTATCCAAATTTTGACTTTGATCATTAAAAGTAAATTTTTTTAAACATAAATATTGTACATGAGTATTGTTAAAGAAACTACATATATAATAAAAAATAAAGGACTTTCTGATTTTTCTTCTTCATGCTTACAAGATTTAGGGTTATTTATATTTATATATTGATTGCATATATATATTTATAAATCCTTTGTTTTAATAATGTATTTTTGAGGTTTTAGTTGATTCTCTTCCGCGTATGGTTCCGCATGGAACAAAATGGAGGAACTGCACCTTTTTCGGCCGTGCTTCTCCTTCTTCAACTGTTACCCTGATCGTTTCTGATTTGATCGGCTATCTTCGTGCGTCTCCGCTCGTTCCTTGACCGCTGGTGGGGCTGATTGTATTTGACTCGATTGATCGTTCCACGAAACGCGTCAATAAGCGAAAAGAGACGAAGGTGGCCGGAACGTTCGCGTATGCCCGAAGATACCCGAATTTTATACCGAGAACGCACGAGCGTCTAACGTGCGGTCATGATGGGATACATATCCAATTTAAGTTTCCCACTTGCTATTTAATACTAATTAAAATTTCCTTAAATGACCCCGAGGGCAAATAGCCTGTGCTACTACCTGGGTGGTCAGAAAGGTAGCCTAACAGATAGCCTAAGATCGCCCCCCCCCCCCCCCCCCCCTTTTTTTTTGCCCGTCCCAATACTGGTAAGGAATGCTGGACTCGGCTAATTGCCCTATAGATTCTGCCTCCCAATTTGCAGTATTGGGACAAATGACTTACCAGTAATCCTACCAAGATTGTACTCGTATCTCTGCCGCAAGGTATATCCAACATAGCCACAGGTGTGGGCACCGAGGCTGTGGCCTATGCAGTGCATCTTAGCCGGGTTAACGCTTCCGACTTCGATTAATTGATAAGCCAAACGTGCTGTCATGGCGCCAACGAGTCTCGTGTTGGCGACAGCTTGGGTGTAAGGGGGACCTGCTCCACCGATCCAGTTCACGATCACTACGTTGGAATCTTCTCGTAGCAACAGCTCCTTCATCGTTCTCTATGGAGGGAAATAAGTGTCCTTCAGTTTATGAATGGTTGTAAGAGTTTAGAAAATGGGGAATACATACCAGCACCCACGTTTTATCACCGTTATCAAGGAATCCATGGACGATGAGGTATAGATTACTATTCTTCCGAAGGGGTGCTTGGTGAATGGTCTCGAATTTATCGATCTTCAACTCCTGAGGTTCTGTCTGATCACGTGTATAAAGGATGTATCGGGGATTTATGGTATCCGGTCGGGCTGGGAAGGTGGACACGGGTCTGTTCTCCCCGGACCATGGGGAACCGATGTAGAAGCAACCGTAGGGTTCGAAACATCGCCACATGTACCATTCTACGCAGAGAGATAATAATTTAAGTTTTGCACCTGCTGATTGAGCACCGTCTACATATGTTTGCAATTAATTGATGTGTATAGTGGGGCGCAATATAGGCTTCTCTTGGCCTAACCTAATTTTTAATTACCATGATTCTGATGGGATCATATGTGACCTACTGTGCTACTTAAGGGTTGAGACTAGGTATAAAGGGAAGAGTTATCTATCATTTGCCTTCGGTTTTTGGAGAAGACCCTAAGGGGAGTCTAGACCCTAGGGAGAGCAGGTAGAACCTAACCTAAAATTCTCTGTAACCTACCTCTACATAAAGGACATAAAGGACCTATGAGTCCAAATTGGCCTTTCTAGTGTCACAGGTGTAAAGCAGAAACATTAATTTTCTACATAGAAACACATCGAAAGCTAGAAACATGACTATGGGTACTGCAGTATGAGTACTACTATCATTATTTACAATGAATCAAACATTTGAACATTTTGCTATGTCCGTCTAGGGGTTATCTGACGTTTGTAATGTTATCAGTGCACGACGGGTGTTATCAGTTCCTCGAATGCCTCGCTACTGTTTTCGTCTTCGAATTGGATTAACGATTAGCACGGCTGTACTTGTATGCACGTGACTACAATTGAATGCACGTTCTAACATAATCTTCTCTTTATTGTTAACTATACCTCTCGTGCTATTTGATGTCATTATTTTTCAATTTCCTTTTTTATCGTCTATTAAGGGATTTAATTTTCATTTATAAGAATGTAAGCTTTTGCTTTATCAAAATTTAGATTTCGATAGCAGCTTTATTTTTTGCTTATAAAATTGACAGAATTTTTTATTTAAATATGATAAATACATATAGGTTTTAGACTGATCTTCTTTTTAACGTTCATGCCTTGTAATTAATTATATGTATCGAGTTATGGATGGAAATTGACAGAAAAGATAGAAAGAAATCTTGTGCCGGAATTTATTAACGCCAAAGAAGATAATTCGCAAGAAATATGTTATTGACGTCTCGCGACGTCTCATTCCTCTTCTTTCGAGGGCAGACTTAATAGACTAATTTTGTAATTATTGTTTTAAGCTGAATATCAATTTTTCATTAATACTCCTGTTATTAAAATAAATAATAAAAATTGAAATTTACTTACGATCTTGCAAATCAAATTGATTCTCTTTCTCCTCTGGTGATAATGTAGTGGTTGTTATATTTTGCTTCTCAATATTGTTATCCACAGCCTGAGAACCAGCCTTTTCAGGTAATGTTGCCATCATATTGGCAGTGTACGCCAGTATCAACATCGTCTCGTTTACAAACATTTTGTACGATCAATAAATATCGTATACAAGTCACAAAAGTTCGTCGAACTCACTTCACAATTAATAAATCAATTATTGAACAAAATGTTCACAGATAAACAATTTTAATTTGATAGTTTCAACACATTTTTTATTAATAGTTTTAAACAAATTTTCTTCTTCTTCATGATCTTTCTAACCAGAACCTCACAAATCGTTTAAAAATGTTTAATTGTTATTAAATAATTGTTGTAAATTAAACTGTATAAATATTAATTAATGAATAATTTCACTAATTATAATTTTAACAAAATTAATCAAGACCTTCACAAATTCTTACCAAACACTAATCCGTCCTTAAGTTAATTAATAATTAATTAACAATTTCGTTTCAATCACAAAAACGTTGCAAATGTTTTACTTATCACAAAATCACAAAACACAATTACAGTCTCTTCTTCAATAATTTCTTTTCTTGATGGAAGATGTTTCTTCTCCGATGATTTCTTCTCGATTCAATTCCGATACGATTATTTAAGTAAAGGGGAGCGACGATATTAGAAAAATGCAATTGACGTAAGTAATGATAACACGATAGACGAACTGCATCAACGAAAGGCCATCGTTTGTTAAAAAATAAACACTTCAGCAACGAAGTCAGTCCTTGTTCTTCGTGGTAATAATTATACCATATTTGTGTCCTTGATCTTGTTATGCGATGTATAATTCACAGAAGTTCAATAATGACATTTGTTTTGTCTTTGTTAATAATTTATAGCTTTCTGCAAAATAAACAAAACATTCATTGATTTTATACGAAAATCATGAAACTTTAGTAATTTTGAAAAATTACAAATTAGGCTCGATGATTTTTTATCTTTAATTGTTTATAAATAATAATTAGGAGCAGTTGGAAATCGGTCTATACTGAACATATGATAATAATAAATGACTTGATCTGTGCAAAATTCAAAGCAGATTTTTTATTTAACATCTGGGTAGTGAATGTAAAAATTTGCATAATAATTGCGAAGAACATCTACTCACAATTGAGGTATTGAAAAGTAGATGATTCATAACATGTTTTTCAATAGGACGTCACAGAATAATTTGTTATTCAAAATTTTTGTATTACGGAAACCTGTCAGTATTTTGTTTGTATCTTAAAGTGTTTATCATTGAATGACGTATTAAATATTTATTTTAAGAAGAGGAATGAGGAAAATGAAATTTGTAACTTCCTTGAACTTTTTTCCTTGAATTTGAAGATAAAGCCCATTTGCAAATAATAAATTACTGTAATAATATTTTAATAATTATGAAACTTTTAGTATCAAAACTTTCAAAATTTTAGTATCAACCATAACAAATATAAATTACATATTTTCACAAAATATTCACAATTTAATAGAATGAAATAAAAAAAAATATAAAGGCAATGAGCTGAACAATGAAAGGGTTGAGAAACTAAGTCTTTATCCATGACACTCACAAAACCGTGACATTAAAAATCACAATTAGGATGATTTTCCTTTCACATCACAATAACAAATTCCGAGGATTAAATGAAAAACATTCGAGAGTTCACCACTGATCGAGCAAGCATCGAGCACTAATCACTAGAAATTGTGAGAACAGCTCTGTCAGCTTCGTTTTATCGCGCATTCCGCCCCACTCCAATCGGTCCGGGTCTCCTCTCGTCGGTTCGGACGAGCTGGTCTTCAAACGAACAGAATTCACAGCAAAAAAGAAAGAAGAACCGGATCGGTCTCTCTAATGAGGCTACAGTCGTCTGAAAAGGTTCGACCTTTTCTTTCTTTTCCCTTAATAGTTAGTCCGGTTGGTTGGGCTTAACCGTGTCATTGGATCTTCCATTGTTTGGAAGAAATGGTTCTGAGGGAAGAAAAATTTCCCAGCACCAGAATGTATTCAATTAGAAAAAGAAAATTATTTACATGGACATTTTAGTTTTCAAAATTGTTTAATCAAATAAATTTTAAGAGTCAAAAATGTGTATAGGGATCTTGGAGGAATACTTTATGGGGGTGTCCCTCTTTGCCATTGATTTATGGTCTGACTTCTCAGTGTGAAATGAATGTTGGAAATCTTTCAAGTTGGTCCCTGAAAGGCTGCTGCAGTGCCAGCTGTTTCATTCAAGTTTGAAGGAAGTTGAAGGGACCGATCGATACTCCAGGTTCCAACAGGCGTCCTGGATCAATAGACGGCACAATGGGGGTTCCTTTTAGCGTGGTAAGTTGAAACCAGTACATTCAACATCCCCTATTGCCATTCAACCCCCCCCCGGGAAAATTGCCTCCTGTGTCGTTATACGTTCCTGGCGATGGACACCCTTGAGATGTCTCTCGTGTTTGCTTGGGGATGTTGCAAAACCACCCTAAACAACTTTAACCGACCTCTTTGATGTTTCTGAGAGCCTGACGACCGAATCGTACGAGGGTTGCATCGTGATTGCTGTGAAAAGTATGAATGACATCTGTTACAGGGTGTCAAAATGTCAGACGTCACTACCCCCCGTGTTTAGGCCGGTGTTGGTAAGGGATGAAGTTGAAGAAATGATGATTTCTTGACGGATTGATTATTATAGGGGTGAAACTTGGGGTATTTTAACCGAACACTGTATTATTATTTATTATAAATAATTATTATTGTTTATTTAATAAAAAAATGAGTTTGGGTTTGATTAGGTCAGGGATGAAATTTGAGAAATTGTATTTTTTTTAAGAGGTGGTTGTTATGAGAGGTAAAACTTGGTAGTATGTTAATTTTGCAGTAGATTATTATAAATTATGAATAATTATTGTAATTAAAAAGTGCTCCTTTTAATTAAAAGTAAAATTGAATATAGTACAGTAGCTTGAATAATGATAATGTAAAAGCTACATGCAAAACAGAAAGTATTTGTGAAATAATCCAAGAAACAAAATTATTTATTGATCCTTGTAGGATATTCAGACACCCTTACAGTGTGAATGGGGAGGAGTTACAAGTGTATGGGTTCGTTGAAACATGGCCGACAGCTGATTGTATACACTCCATTCAACGTCGAAGGGGCCTTCAAGACCCTTGAAACACTCCTTTTAACCCCTGTTATCCTGTTACGTTGCCCTATCGGATCCCCATTCATTTACATGAGTATTCGTGGTAGGGTATATCCTGCGGGTGTCCTTTGGAGAACGTGAATGAAAATGGTGGAAGAGCTTCGTGCCAGAGAAGAATAACCACCGAATGACGGAAACAGGTCAATCGTAACTCAGACCTACAAAACGTGTTACACAAAAAATACTTTTGGACTTCCAAAATCTCAAATTCTTGAAATATTAAAAAATACAAAAGAATTTAAAATAAATTTCAATTAAATTTAAATTGTTTTAACTTCCTGTCATTCAAGTACAAATTAAGTTAAGTTAATTAATCATAGCAATTTTTCCTAGAAAGCTAAATAAAATGAACATTGTTTACAAAAATTTTCAAATTGTTGACAATTTTCCAAGTGGTGTTTAATTTTAATTGTTGCTATTTCAGCGATTCTATATTCGAGCGATCTTGTTTATTCTATGACCCAGAAATTCTTAGAACCGTATCAATTTTTTCAATTAAGCTGATTATCAAATTTCATGCGCAACTGAGCCAGCAACATTCGAAGGAAAAAGTGCTATCGGTGTGAAATTGTGAGATAAACGCCTCGACCTACGACTCTGCTTTTAATCAGCAATAATCATTGGTTAAATTATGTAGAGAAATAATTTTATTCATGTTATTTTTTATGGTAATTGATATTTAATCATTCGAATGGAATTTGATATACTTTCTACCGTACTAAGTGTTAAACAGATTCAGTTTGATGAAAAGGAGGGCGGGAATTGTCGTCTCATCGGTTCGACCGCCATATTTTAGGTAACAGCCATTGCTGCGTGGCCCTTTTGGTAGGGACTGACCACGCACTGTAATCCCTAAGACACTTGCCTTCACCTTCTAGCATCCTGTGAACGCGGCCCTTTGTGAAACGTCCCTAGAGGGTTAAATAATTAAATAACCTGCGTACTTTGGAGGCGATTAATATTCCCGCCCTTTATGAAAATTGTCACTCAATGGCAAAGGGAAGCAACCTGGTGACAATGAATAGGAGAACATGCTCTCTGGTGCTTTCTGACTTGGAAGGACCTACAAGGGAATTCTGTACTTGTCCAAGTATATAAACAAAAAAATGTCAGGGGATATAATTTTTATTAAAATTAATTTTAAAATTATAAGAAGTTAATAGAAATTTGAAGGGAGATGATTTCTATTAGAATCTTTCTGGCTTAATGGGAATATGTATCTAAAAATATAAATATTAAAAAGTGTAGATTCCTAGATAAAACTTAAAAATTTGTAAAGAAAATGCACCTATTTTATTTATTGTATTTATGATTAACAATTAATTATATTATCTGGTATCACCCATTTTGTTGAAAATGAAGTTACACCATTTTTAAAATAAATGTCTCTGTAGCTTATAAAATGAAACTCTTCTATAAAATCTTTTTGACTGCTTTTCTTATGGTGTACAAGGGGTTGTGCGTTGAGTCCTTTTGGAGGATTCTCAAAGGGCCGCCGCGAGATACAACCAGTCGTTTCCTTATGGTTTCCTAGTAAAAGTGCGTAGGCGTATGCCCTTTAGGGACCAACAATTCTCGTTCTTCCCATAAAAGGGCTACCTTGTCCTTCAAGGGTGCCCTATACAATTTTCGACCAGTTTACTTTACGTTTTCCTGGACTCCTGTTGCTAAAGTTTGTGTTTAATTCAGCGTACTGTATTTAAAACGTGAAGACAAGACATACTTCATCAATTTACAAATTGTTATAATTTTGTTAATTTTTGAAAATTTGTTCATATACGTATTCAAAAATGTTATCTTCCATAAAAATTTTCTAGTTTGTTAAAAGCTACATTAAAGTAAAAATTGTTTATTTAAAAACATATTTCAATTTTAAATAAATGTATGAAAATATTGTATCATGAATGAGATTGTTGATTCATTCGAATAAATGATACAAATAATTCATTTCCTTGATATTCAGTGAAATGTTATACATCGACGAAGGTAAAAGAGATAACGAATGGAAATTCCACTTTATTTCCATTGAAAGGGGTAATTTAATCGTGGCTGATTATCAGGGTGGATGGGGGGTCACTCAACCCACCGGGAATTTTTTTTCCATCGACTTCCGGAAGCCTCGACCAGGAAACCAGGAACTTGTGTTGTTCGTCTGACACCAGGATTGGTCACATTAACATATCACCTTCTGCTAATCAATATCGCAACCCAAATGAAATCATTAATAATTAAAAAGATAATTTCAATAATGTGTCAACAACGAGAACAAAGATTGTCGATAACAATAAAATATAAAATGTTATATACATATTTGGGCTAAAATGCATAAATCATATTATAATTATGTAGCATTAATTACTTAACACCTTCAATAAAGCTAAGGCACTTGGCTCACTGCAGAGCGATGTTCCACTTACGTCCACGACTTTGCGCGTACGTGAACGTCATTATTTCCTCCTAATCATATCCGCTTCGCCTGCTAGATGGCATCGACTCAAGCAGGAAGTCACGTGCACGTGCTGTGTCAGTGGGACGACGGGAATTAAGCCGCGGTCTGTGCAATATCCTCCTGCGCAATCATGCTGTCCTAGTACCGTTGACATCTGCGCGATTTATCTTTCTTCAGCCGGGACAAATTGAATTTACTCGCCGCAGGAAGGGCTCGTCCGTCATCCTCGAGACGACCACTGTGTCCCCCTCATGCTTCCCTGATTGTGCGTGTGCCCGCACTATAAAAACAAAACCAACTGACGTGTCACGGACATGAGAGACGTGTCACGTTGCGTGCATGCCGGACAACAGGTGTCTTAATGGGCGGACAAGAGTGTTGGACGACACTGGTGAAGTTAACACGTTGATCGCCACAGTAGAAATAAATGTATGAGGTAAGGTACATTGGGTCTCTGTTCTAATTATTGAGAATATGATTTTAAACTGAAGTTCTCAATTTCCTAGACTGCTGTGCTATATCAGCACGTGTTGCCAAGGACCTAAGGGGGAAGATTTCGACCCAATCAATAGTGGTACCCTTTCTAGCACCCTACTTGTCCCTGTGCTCTCTTAAGTGGTTCCCTTCCTACAAGCTTTCTTCGAAGAGATTGCCAGCGCATCGCGCATCACCACACTACCCACATGCCATCTCCCAACTCAGCACCCAACTCATCCGCATCCGCATCTCTCCACTCTATCTCGGGCCAACACTCATCCAGCCCCTCCTTCTGCCTTATCCGCAGTAGGCACATGTACCATATACAAGGGAAGGGAGTAGGGGAGCCCTACCTCTGCTGGATGTCAAGCAATTGCGAACAGTAGTGGTGTATGAAGCAACAACGTCGATGTTGGTGAATGCCAGTTGCCTTCAGGAGACCAGAAAGTCGACACACGATCCGTCCACGTGTTCGCGATTATGGTACCCTGGTAACGTTCGTGTCTACTCGTCTCTGTCCGTACGACAAACAAACGTAATTTACGAGGTCCGCGACCTCTCACGTTCGCCG